TATGTGGAACTTTCAAGCTAACAACCTAGGGAATAAAAAGAATTTATTGAGGGTAAATAGAACAAGAGAGGAAGTAGAATTAATGACCCACTCTCGTTTTGTCTAGACGCTTGTAAGATGATGCAATTGAGCGCTTCTGCGTATTCAACTGGAGTCGGCCAGGAATTTTCTGGGAAGTGTCGTCTGATATACATTCAGATAATAAGCTGCAATCTGTTTGATAGACATCACATGCTAATAACTCCTCTACTGTAGGAGGGAGCTGTTTTTGCCATAAATCTTCGTCCTCGTTAAGCAGGTAGGACGAACCAATAATTGCTCTTACTCGTCCAGATCTAGTATTGCGCACATATATACCCTCTGATTTATCCAAGGGAATAGAAGTCCGACAGCAGACAACTTCGACAGATACTGGCGGAACGTATTCCATGGGCCCTTGAATAAGCCATTTTTCACCTGGAGAATATGTCTTTAGTGAAATGTAGAAAATTTGAGGAAATTATATTTAGATACATAAGTAGATACATACTTAGATATATAAGTAAAAAAATGAAAGCCAAATAGACCCTTACACGTGAACCAATGGTAATCTGCTCCGTTGCTTTAAGTACTAGCCCCTCATTCTGACTTAAAATATAGACATCCTCCACGCCAGCCTCTAGTTCTTCTCCAGGATGCAAAAAGAAAGAACATTCTCCACGTATGAGCTGTTTTTTTCCTAACTGGCAGACCCCATTTTCATTAATAGGATTGAGTTTAAAAGCATATTGTTGGGCAGTCAAAGTGATGGCCCGAACGGTGCTGACGAGTTCTTCATTCACCCCAATAATGTGACTATCAGTATCCTTGAGTGTGAGAAGCCATTTTTCTCCGTTTCTGCGAGGCTTATTGTAGCTATCAATGTGAGTCCGAAGGGCCTTAAGGCAAATTGCAGTCTAAAACATAAAAATATGATAAAACCGCATACATACATAATTTGTAAAAAGTTGTATAAATAGTAGAATTGAGTAGGTCTTGAGCTACCAGTAGTTATTGAATAAGAGCTGTATTCACCTCAGATCAAATAAAGTGGTACATAAATTATAGCCAAATAATCCCTGAATGATATGAGTAGGTCCCATAATGCGAGCTGAACGTACTCATTTCTAATATAAGCAATATATTTGATCCTAATAGCAAAAACAAATAGGCCAATTAGCTAGCTGCAAAAATTTGATATGAAGGAGGCTTTGCTTACCTTGAATTTCATACCTTCGCTGTGACACACTGGCCCAGATAGCAGTGCCTAAA